GGGTGAGGATGGAGGGGCAGGTGGGATGAGAAGGCAGAGCTGCTGAACACCAGGATTTTGTCTGTCCCAGCAGATTCAAAAAGTTTCTTTTTAATTAAATGGATTTTTGTCAAGAGACCTGGACCAGGCTTGGCTATAGCTGTCTTCTTCTGTATCTGAACTTTGTTAATCACGTTTGCTTCCTCTGTCCCACAGCAGCAGATGGTTTCTAAAGCCACATGTTCTGGGACATCCCATAGCCTCAGCGGTGGGGGTAAATGATGGAGAAAATGAATGTTGTTAATGTGATTCACTGAAAAGAGTGTCCAACAATTGGCAAAGCCCACAGTTCTCTAGCAAAAATACAAGATGTTGGTAGTAATTCTGCTCTCTTTTCTGCCCAGGGCACTGCAACAAAACTTGGGCCTCTGCCTCGGATCCTGAGGGATGTCAACTCAGCGCTCAGTAACCCGGCCTGCGTGCAGGTCTCGGTCATGGCTGATCACACTGCATCCACGCCTAATGCTGGCAACAGCATCTCTGCGGGGCTACAGAAAATGGTGATAGAGAATGACTTGTCTGGGTAAGAGCATAAAAGGTGGCCTGGCCACAGACCAGGGAAGTACTGAATATTCATCTACTGCCAAAACCTGAGCACCTGCAGGGACAGGCAGGACAAGGTGTAGTGTGGAGTTGCCTGGTCCATTGACGAGGCTTTCTAATTGCAGAACTGGTACTGGATGTAGGTCAGCTCTGAATCTAGACAAAGCAGTGGGCAGTAGCGCAAGCACACGGCTCCATCCTGGGTCTCTTGTGAGCCAAAACTGGGGATGTGGTCTGCAAAATCAAGAACTTGGCAGTTCTGGTCTCAGCTCTTGAGATGTGGCTGCAGAAGCAAAATATTCATCCTTTGAGGACTTGAGGGCTTGTTTGTGCTAACCTCAAAGTGATGGGTATTGCCATTAAGTTAATTAAGTCTCTGAGTATGCGAGATTTATAGGATTGGCCTTATCCATCTTTGTAAGACATAGGGTATGTGCTGAATTCACTGAGATCCAAATCTGGACATTTCTCTTAAGAGTTGCCAAGCTGTAGAGGCCTAACAATCAATTCCAGTGTACTCTGTCCAGTTTTTATAATACTGGGTGTTTTTAATGATGAGCAGTGATTCACAGACACAGTCACCTAACATACTTTTTAGCCTAATTATGTAAGGAGTTTCATTCATGGGGAGGATGACTGTTGCAGACCTATAATGTTTCTGTTTGTGGAAAATGAAATGGAGCCCACACAAATGGAAAGGCTGTGCTAGTAAAATAGTTTGTAAGTGGAAACTACATAATATTTAACAGGTTAATTAGGAATGAAAGGCAGCAATGACGTTGGACTTGCTCTAATCAGAGCTTTCATCTCTAATGCTTCCCAGCGTACAATTATTTAAATCTAATGCTATGGAGGATCTCTGACAATATGCTTTCACCCAAATACTTGCTTGCAGTGCACCATTTTTGATCAGCGGTATATTCACATTAAGCTACTGCAAAGCTCTTTCTTCCTATCCCCAAGAAATCAATATTGCATGAATGTATGTTACAGCAGGAGGAATGGGTGGGTAACCTTCAGTTGCTAGGCTTTAGCTCTGCTGTTAGAGCTCTCTGCCTGACCGTTGGAGGCCTAATGTGGATCAGGCCCCCATGGTGCTCTGTGCCGTACAAGTATCGGCCACCTTACTGCCCGGGTACAGAGCAGAGGACACGAGAGTGGCATGGATACAGCCAGTTGGAAGCAGAAAGGGTGACATGTGCTGTCAGCGTGTTGAGCAGATCCAGCGGGGGAGGCAGAGCCCCCGAGAGCGTGCCTGTGAATGCCTCCTGCACAGCGCAGCGCTCCCACCGCGCATCCGCACGCCCCTCGCTCCCCTGCCTACCCCTGCCTGCTCCTGCCGGGCTGGCCCAGGGCTCCTCTGCACCCCTCCGTCCTGCCCGCTCCCCTCGCACTGTCCCTCCCCACAGGCAGACCTGGCCGGGCCAGCCCTGC